CCCCATGAGCTGTCCGTCCGTCCCTGCCTCTTACGTTAGTGATCAGTGGAGAAGGACCCCTTTACATTGGTGATCAGCAGAGAAGGGACCTCTTGCATTGGTGAACAGTGGAGAAGGACCCCCTTACATTGGTGATCAGTGGAGAAGGACCCCCTTACATTGGTGATCAGTGGAGAAGGGACCTCTTGCATTGGTGATCAGTGGAGAAGGACCCCCTTACATTGGTGATCAGTGAAGGACCCCCTTACATTGGTGGTCAGTGGAGAAGGGGCCCTTACATTTGTGATTAGTGGAGAAGGGACCCTTACATTGGTGATTAACGGAGAAGAGACCTCTTACATTGGTGGTCATTGGAAAAGGACCCCTTACATTGGTGATCAGTGGAGAAGGGCCCCCCTTACATTGATGATAAGTTGAGAAGGGCCCCTTTTCATTGGTCAGTGCAGAAGCACCCCTTACATTGATGATCAGTGGAGAAGGAACCTCTTACATCCATGATCAGTGGAGGAGCACCCTGATAAATTGTTAATCTGTGGAGAAGGGACCCTTAAATTGGTGATCAGTAGAGAAGGACCCCCTTACATTGGTGTTTAATGGAGAAGGGCCCCTTAAATTGGTAATTAACAGAGAAGATACCTCTTACATTGGTGGTCATTGGAGAAGGACCCATTACATTGGTGATCAGTGGAGAAGGACCCCCTTACATTGGTGATCAGTGGAGAAGAACCCCTTTACATTGGTGATCAGTGGAGGAGGGACCTCTTACATTGGTGATCAGTGGAGAAGAACCCCTTTACATTGGTGATCAGTGGAGGAGGGACCCCCTTACATTGGTGATCAGTGGAGAAGGGCTCTTAAATCCATGATCAGTGGAGGAGCACCTTGTTAAATTGTTAATCTGTGGAGAAGGGACCCTTACATTGGTGATCAGTGGAGAAGGACCCCCTTACATTGGTGATCAGTGGAGAAGGACCCCTTATATTAGTGATCAGTGGAGAAGAACCCCTTTACATTGGTGATCAGTGGAGAAGGGACCTCTTGCATTGGTGATCAGTGGAGAAGGACCCCCTTACATCGATGATCAGTGGAGGAGCACCCTGTTAAATTGTTAATCTGTGGAGAAGGGACCCTTACATTTGTGATCAGTGCAGAAGCACCCCTTACATTGATGATCAGTGGAGAAGGAACCTCTTACATTCATGATCAGTGGAGGAGCACCCTGTTAAATTGGTAATCTGTGGAGAAGGGACCCTTACATTGGTGATCAGTGGAGAAGCACCCTTTACGTTGGTGGTCAGTGGAAAAGCACCCTGTTAAATTGGTGATCAGTGGAGAGAAGGGGCTTCTTACATTGGTGATTAGTGGAAAAGGGACCCTTACATTGGTAATCTGTGGAGAAGGGACAATACATTGGTGATCAGTGGAGAAGGGACAATACATTGGTGATCAGTGGATTAGGGAGCTTTTACATTGGTGGTTAGTTTAGGCAATCTGTAAGCAATCTCGTCTCAAGGGACCTGAAATCAAAATCTGGAACTTTAACAATAGGGGACCCCCCAGATACCACCTCCCCCATATGAATGAATAAGGGACACACAGAACCTCTACTAAGTAAAAAAATGGAAAAGTACAAAAAAACCACTGAGTTTAAAAGAAAAATGTCCCACGATGTACTTCTATCCACGTCAATCATGATGAACAATGCCAAACACCCACTGAGAGGAAGAAATCCCGAAAGATACATCCAAACCTGCCATGCTGAATGCCATCTCCAAAGCCCCGCCGCTAGCAGTAGACAAAGGGGAGGAGTCTCTTAGGTGACCCATTGCTTATTATTATCTGCTAATTCCCTCCAGTGTTCTCTAGAATTGTTTCTTTGTATCTCTTGGTATGTATCTCCTCTGCTCCCGAACGCCATCAAGTGGCCGTAATGCAATATATTTTACTGCTGCCCATAGTCACAGAATATTCATTCAGAAGAGAAAATAGCCTGAAAAACATTTGTTTTTGACGAACTCGATAGAACAAATGTACAATGGAAATTTGCTGGATGAAGAAATCTGCAAAATGTTTTCTGTACACCCTATCAGTGCAAGGCATGGTACATATGGCAGCTGGATGTATTAGCATACCAGGAGCGGACTGACAACTCATGGGGCCCCCGGGCAATGGGGGATCATGGGGCCCCTGTTTCCTTGCCCAAACTCAAAAAAGCCTATGAAAAAGATACCAGGGGCATCTCATAGGGCCCCCTACTGACCCCGGGCCCTCAGGCAGTGCCCGAGTTTCCAAATGGTCAATCCGCCCCTGGTAAGAGGTCCTTCTCCACTGATCACCAATGTTGGGGGGCCTTTCTCAGATGATCATCAAAGTAGGGAGGTCCTCCCAACCGATTACCAAAGTAAGAAGTCCCTTCTCCCCTAACCACCAATTTAACCACTTGCCTACCAGGCACTTATACCCCCTTATTTACCAGGCCAATTTTCAGCTTTCAGCGCTGCCGCACTTTGATTGACAATTGCGCGGTCATGCAACATTGTACCCATATGAAATTTTGATCATTTTTCTCTCACAAATAGAGCTTTCTTTTGGTGGTATTTAATCGCCACTGGGCGCTTTACTTTTTGCGCTATAAATTAAAAAAAGTGCAAAAAATTTGAAAAAAAAAAAAAAGTTTATTTGTATCTTTTATAAAATTTTTCAAACAGGTATTTTTTCTCCTTCACTGATTTGCGTTGATGAGGCGGCACTGATGGGCACTGATAGGCAGCACTGATGGGCACTGATAGGCAGCACTAAAGGGCACTGATAGGCAGTACTAATGAGGTGGCACGGATAGGCGGCACTAATATGCAGCACTGATAGGCGGCACTGATAGGTGACACTGATGATGGGTACTGATAGACGGCACTGACTGGCATCACTTCTGGGCACTGACTGGCGGCACTGACTGGCACAACCCCTGGGCACTGACTGGTGGCACTGACTGGCAGCACTGCTGGGCTGCACTGGTGGGTGGCACTGGTGGGCAGCACTGGTGGGTGGGCACAGGTGGGTGGCACTGGTGGGCACAGGTGGGTGGCAGTGGTGGGCACAGGTGGGTGGGCACAGGTGGGTGGCACTGCTGGGCACATGTAGGTGGCACTTCTGGGCACAGGTAGGTGGCACTGCAGAGTGGCACAGGTGGGTGCACTGCTGGGCACAGGTGGGGGCACTGCTGGGCACAGGTGGGGGCACTGCTGGGAACGGGGTGGGCGGGGCTAGTGGGCGCACTGCTGGGCGGAACTTGCGGGTGTCACTGCTGGGCACCGATCATCAGGGCACTGATCATCAGTGCCCTGATGATCGGTGCCGATCCCCGCTCTGACAACTGCCGGTTCTCGGCAGTACTTTCCTCACGATCTGACAGCGTGAGGAAAGTGCAGCCGAGAACCGGCACTTGCATTTCCCTGTGATCAGCGTGTCATTGGACACCGCTGATCACGTGGTAAAAGGCCGGTGGGATCGGCCTTTCACCACATCACGTGATCAGCTGTGTCCGTAGGACACAGCAATCACGGAGATCGCCGGGTGCGCGCCCCCTGGGGCGCGCAGGAGAGCGCGTTCTGGGAGGACGTCATATGACGTCCACTCAGAACTGGCCGGCCGCGGTGAAGCCGTCATTCGGCTATGCGCGGTCGGCAAGAGGTTAAGAGTGTGGGCATCCTCACCACACACTCAAACCACACCCAAAAGAGCCTATGAAAGGTGCCAGGGGCATCTCATGGGGCCCCCTACTGGCCCCGGGCCCTCGGGCAGTGCCCGAGTTCCCAAATGATCTAGTCCGCCCCTGAAGCATACCCAAGGTCTTTTGATCCGTGGGTTATTTTTTGGCTATTTTTAAAGTGCGGATCTGGTGTGAGGATCACAAAGTGGGAGGGAATATTATTAGCTCAGTCACCCAACTAGTGGCCCCTGGTTTCTTTCTGTGTCCTGGATACTGGATAGCGATACCAGCTTGCAGTTCTCTGTAAACTTTGCATTTGGTTGATTGAAGGCCCTTACATAGAACTATCAAGGTGACTGGCCTAAGGTGATACACAGAGATGAAACAAATCTTCCTACATACGTTGTACCTGTTTATCTGCATTCCTTTTTCCTCTAGAGCTGTTCAAAGTCCAAAATGTGCTCAGTATTTCTGAGCTCTAGAAGGCAGGGGGTATAGATTTTGATGTCACATACTGCACATTATAGAGCAGGCAACTGAGTGTAATCTGAGACCTGAGTGGAGGGAATGGACACACCCATCTCTACTCGGTCTCATAAGGAAACATGCACAACTGAGGCTTTCAATCACATGCTATGTGCTGGGGGGGGGGGGGGGGGATGTCTCCCGAGATTGCTTGGTGTTGGCATAGACTGTCTGAGGTGGCTCATGCAGATAGAAGAGGAAGGTAACAGCAGTCAGTAATCTCTTAGAATGTAAGCTCCAAGGAGCATGCTCATCTCCAGGACTTCTCCGGAGCTTTCCCCCATCCTCTGGAACTCTCTACCCCAATTTATCAGACTATCGCCTACTCTGTTCACTTTTAGGCGATCTCTGAAAACCAATCTCTTCAGGGAAGCCTATCCTGCCCTCAGCTAATACTGGAATCTTCTACTCCTCCTACCAGTCCATCCCCCACAGTTACTACCTTTTGTACCACTAGCCCCTCCCTCTTAGATTGTAAGCTCCAAGGATCAGGGCCCTCCTAACCCTCTTGTATTGAACAGTATTGTATCTGTATTGTCTTTCGTTATATCGTAAAGCGCTGAGCAAACTGTTGGCGCCATAAATCCTGTACAATAATAATCACACTCAGTGCTTTGGATTGAGGCAAGCACACACTGTAGAAGGATATGCTTTGTTCCTTTTTCATTTCAGAGGTTTACAATGACTTTAATTTAGCAATGGTTGATAAATTTGCTCCTGTCCAGTAATCACTCACTAGTAGTACCATCCAGGGGCAGACTGACAACTCATGGGGCCCCCGGGCAATAGGGGATCATGGGGCCCCTGTGTCCTTGCCCAAGCTCAAAAAAGGCTATGAAAAAGGTACCAGGGGCATCTCATGAGGCCCCCTACTGACCCCGGGCCCTTGGGCAGGGCCCAAGTTTCCAAATGGTCAGTCCGCCCCTGGTACCATCTTACTAATATCGGAATCCTGGGATTTTGACTCGGAATGCATTGAGTTGGGCCTTATCAGGACACGGAGAAGCTACAATTCTCGGTACTCCATAAAATGAAGTGTTTCGGAGAGGAAAACGACTGGCTTTTATGTGGATACTATTTCGTTACGGGACAGGAGTCAGAATTTTTACAGTCGCACTTTGGTTAATGCCCCATGTGAGTATTGGCCGGGAACGTTTGTCTAGAGTTATGTCGCGCAATTCCACGAACTCTCAGATGGAGACACGATCTTATCTCAAGGTGCTCGCTACAAGACGGGATCTCACGGGACGAGTTCACAGACTCAATATATTGGAACATAATCCTCTTTCAGCGTTTGTCACCGGATATTAATATTTCCAAAATTTCTACTCTCTGCCCAAAACCACGGGTAATGCTCATATCTGCTGCCTGCGCTACACAAAGGCCGTTATTTAAAGGGAAACTATTCTGCCTTTTCGGCTTTCACTACACAGTTCTCCTGGAACTCGATTTTGATGTGACTTTCTCAGTTTCACACACTATGTGTTCGGAATTGTCATACAGTCAGGTCCATAAATATTGGGACTTCGACACAATTCTAACATTTTTGGCTCTATACACCACCACAATGGATTTGAAATGAAATGAATAAGATGTGCTTTAACTGCAGACTGTCAGCTTTAATTTGAGGGTATTTACATCCAAATCAGGTGAACGGTGTAGGAATTACAACAGTTTGCATATGTGCCTCCCACTTGTTAAGGGACCAAAAGTAATGGGACAATTGGCTTCTCAGCTGTTCCATGGCCAGGTGTGTGTTATTCCCTCATTATCCCAATTACAATGAGCAGATAAAAGGTCCTGACTGTATCTCTAGGTATTAAACCAATCTGTATATTCTCCCTCTAGTCAGGGCTGTATGTAGATATCCTATAGCCCCGGCATACCTGCATCATGGCTCTCCTTTGCACATGCTCGGCACACCGGAGTGTTCATAAAGCCAGCATGCACTGGTGGGCAGCTAGTGGTTCACATCACCAGACAAGAGAAGACATAGATGTTTTCATGTTTCTTGAACTGCAAAGAGTCTTCTGACCAGGGGCGGACTGACAACTCATGGGGCCCTGGGCAATAGGGGATCATGGGGCCCCTGTGTCCTTGCCCAAATTCAAAAAAGCCTATGAAAAAGGTACCAGGGGCATCTCATGGGACCCCCTACTGACCCCGGGCCCTCGGGCAGTGCCGGGAGTTTCCTATTGGTCAGTCCGCCCCTGCTTCTGACTCCTCTTAACATCCCCTTCACGCCTTCTCTTCCCATTGCACCTTTACTTCACACACCCCCTGCCCCCTCCATCCACCTACCTATCCTACACTCCCTATATCCCCTGCACCCCCATCCTCCTACATTTCCTGAACTCCTTACATTTCCTGTAACCCCTTTCCTGAAACTCTCCCTTCTCCTAGATGACATTTGTGCTAAGGGGGGGGGAGGCGATTTGGGTAAGGGGGCAGGATTATATGCTGGGAAGGGTAGTTTGGCTGAATTTGTCCTAGGTGGGGGGATTGAAGGAAGAGGATTGGTATTGGGGGGAGGGGCTTGGGGAAGAATTTGTGCAAGGAGAGGGGGAATAGGGGGGACTTGTGTTAGTAGAGGGGGCTGGGGGGGTTTGTGTTAGGAAGGGGAATTGGGGGGGGGGGTAAATTTGTACTAGGAGGAGGGATTTGGGGAGGGATTTGTGCTAGGGGGGGGGATTGAAGAGTTGTGCTAGGAGGGGGGATTTGGGGAGGAATTTGTGCTAGGAGAGAGGCTTGGGGAGGAACCTTTTGCTAGGAGAGGGGGAATGGGGGGGATTTGTGGTAGGAGGGGGGATTGGGGAGGAACTTTGTGCTAGGAGAGGGGGGGAATGGGGGGGGGGGATTTGTGGTAGGAGTGGGGATTGGGGGGGGGTAATTTGTACTAGGAGGGGGGATTTGCAATAGGAGGGGGATTGTAGGGGTTGTGTTAGGAGGGAGGAGGGAGGGTGTAATTTGTACTAGGAGGGGGGATTTGGGGGATAGATTTGTGCTAGAAGGGGGATTGTAGGGGTTGTGCTAGGAGGATTTTTGTGCTAAGAGAGAGGGTATGGAGGGGATTTGTGTTAGTAGAGGGGGTTGGGGGGGATTTGTGCTAGGAGGGGGGATTGGGGGGGTAATTTGTACTAAGAGGTGGGATTGGGGGGGATCTGTGCTAGGAGGGGGATTGTGGGGGTTGTGCAAGGAGAGGGGATTTGGGGAGGAATTTGTGCTAGGAGAGCGGCTTGGGGGGGAATGTGTGCTACCAGATGGGGAATGGGGGGGGGGGGTATGTGTTAGTAGAGGGGGTTGGGGGAGATTTGTGTTAGGAGGGGGGATTTGGGGGGGTAATTTGTACTAGGAGGGGGGATTTGTGCTAGGAGGGGGATTGTAGGGGTTGTGCTAGGAGGGGGGATTTGGGGAGGAATTTGTGCTAGGAGAGAGGCTTGGAGAGGAATTTTGTGCTAGGAGAGGGGGAATGGGGGGAATTTGTACTAAGAAAGGGATTGTAGGGGTTGTGTTAGGAGGGGGGATGGAAGGTGTAATTTGTACTAGAAGGGGGGATTTGGGGAGTAGATTTGTGCTAGAAGGGGGGATTTGGGGAGGCATTTGTGCTAGGAGAGAGGGAATGGAGGGCACTTGTGTTAGTAGAGGGGGTTGGGGGATTTGTGTTAGGAGGGGGGATTAGGGGGTAATTTGTACTAGGAGGGGGGATTTGGGGGAGGGGAATGCAGGGGTTGTGCTAGGAGGGGGGATTTGGGGAAGAATTTGTGCTAGGAGAGTGGCTTAGAGGAGGGGGAATTTGTACTAGGAGGGGAGAATTGGGGGGGGGGATTTGTTTTGGGGGGGGTGGGGAATTGTGCTAGGAGGAGGGATGGGGGGGGGGGGGTTGTGCTAGGAGTGGGGATTTGGGTGAGGAGGAAGGATTTGTGTTGGGAAGGGTAATTTGGATGGGGTTGTGCTAGAAGGTAGATTTAGAGGGATTTTTATTAGGAGGTAAAATTTGGGGGATTTATGCTAGGAGGGGGGATTTGGGGGAGAGGATTGGTGCTAGGGTGGAAAATTTGAGGTGAAAGAGGATGTGTGAAAGGAGGGGTGAAGTAGAATTACAGGTGAAGTTTTGTTGTTTTTTTTTGGGGAGGGGGGGAGCAGGCCTGGATCTAGAGGGGTGCTGGGGTGGGATATGCACCCCCAGATTTTAGTTGTGCCCCCCCCAGATCTCTTGAGAGTGCATCCAACTGATCCATGAGACCTGATGGGGACAATTGATGTAAGGGGGAACTCTGATAGGAATAGTTGATGTAAGGGGGAACTCTGATTGCGACAGTTGATGTAAGGGGGAACTCTATTTTGACAGTTGATGTAAGGGGGAACTCTGATAGGAATAGTTGATGTAAGGGGGAACTCTGATAGGAATAGTTGATGAAAGGCGGAACTCTGATAGGAATAGTTGATGTAAGGGGGAACTCTGATAGGAATAGTTGATGTAAGGGGGAACTTTGATAGGAATAGTTGATGTAAGGGGGAACTTTGATAGGAATAGTTGATGAAAGGCGGAACTCTGATAGGAATAGTTGATGTATGGGGGAACTCTGATAGGAATAGTTGATGTAAGGGGGAACTTTGATAGGAATAGTTGATGTAAGGGGGAACTCTGATAGGAATAGTTGATGCAAGGGGAACTCTGATTGGGACAGTTGATGTAAGGGGGAACTCTGATTGGGGCAGTTGATGTAAGGGGGAACTCTGATTGGGATAGTTGATGTAAGGGGGAACTCTGATAGGAATAGTTGATGTACGGCGGAACTCTGATAGGAATAGTTAATGTAAGGGGGAACTCTGATAGGAATAGTTGATGTAAGGGGGAACTTTGATAGGAATAGTTGATGTAAGGGGGAACTTTGATAGGAATAGTTGATGAAAGGCGGAACTCTGATAGGAATAGTTGATGTATGGGGGAACTCTGATAGGAATAGCTGATGTAAGGGGGAACTCTGATAGGAATAGTTGATGCAAGGGGGAACTCTGATTGGGACAGTTGATGTAAGGGGGAACTCTCTGATTGGGGCAGTTGATGTAAGGGGGAACTCTGATTGGGATAGTTGATGCAAGGGGGAACTCTGATAGGAAATAGTTGATGTACGGCGGAACTCTGATAGGAATAGTTGATGTAAGGGGGAACTTTGATAGGAATATTTGATGTATGGGGGAACTCTGATAGGAATAGCTGATGTAAGGGGGAACTCTGATAGGAATAGTTGATGCAAGGGGGAACTCTGATTGGGACAGTTGATGTAAGGGGGAACTCTCTGATTGGGGCAGTTGATGTAAGGGGGAACTCTGATTGGGATAGTTGATGCAAGGGGGAACTCTGATAGGAATAGTTGATGTACGGCGGAACTCTGATAGGAATAGTTGATGTAAGGGGGAACTTTGATAGGAATATTTGATGTATGGGGGAACTCTGATAGGAATAGTTAATGTAAGGGGGAACTTTGATAGGAATATTTGATGTATGGGGGAACTCTGATAGGAATAGTTGATGCAAGGGGGAACTCTGATAGCAATAGTTGATGTACGGGGGAACTCTGATAGGAACAGTTGATGTAAGGGGGAATTCTGATTGGGACAGTTGATGCAAGGGGGAACTCTGATTGCGACAGCTGATGTAAGGGGGAACTCTGATTGGGGCAGTTGATGTAAGGAAGCATTCTGTTGAAGCAATTGATGTAAGGAGCAGTCTGAGAGGGGCAATTAATGTAAGTGGGTACTCTGATAGGGATAGCTGATGTAAGGGGGCACTCTGGACAGTTGATGTAAGGGGGCACTCTGGACAGTTGATGTAAGGGGGCACTCTGGACAGTTGATGTAAGAGGGCACTCTGGACAGTTGACGTAGGGGGCACTCTGTTGAAGAGACTGATGTAAGGAGTACTCTGATGAGAACACCTAATGTAAGGGGGGACTCTTATAGGTACCTTGATGTAAAGAGGAAACTTTGAGGATTCCTGATGTAAGGAGGGACTCTGACAGGGACACCTGATATGAGGGGCTCAGGTTCTGTTTAATCCTCCTAATACATAGTAGTGCTCTCTATTCACCCCTTTCTGCCTCTTCACTATCTGTCAGATGTTACTTTCGGGTTGTGACTCCGTGGTACAGAAGCGTGCCGAGTGAACAGGGAATACGGGTTCTATGCATCTCTGTCACATTATGGCCCCTGACTTTTTTTTTTTTACTGCACCCCCAAATCAGATCCGGCCCTGGGGGGAAGGGGTGCAAATAGCTGGTCCTGGTCCCACGAGTATCTCATAGTATATAGAGCCGTACCATGACAGATGATGGAAGATCTGTACTGAGGATCGGCTCCACCATGATGGGGTATCAATAACCGGAGAGTCTGCCGTTTTCATGAATACATAATAAATGGGAGTCCTGATCACTAGGACCCGACTCTCACAGACTAAACGCCGAGTGACAAATGTCCGACCTCCTGACCACAATCCCGTTCTACATTCGGATGATTTTAGTAATCAATGGACCGATTGCCATGTGACACGGCGATCCCTGTGAATGTACTCCACGTAGGAGCCCATTATCAGGTCGCAGCGCCCGCCGCGCATTCCAATACGGCATTTGTCTTCCTTCTCTTTTTTACAATTGTGAGCAGATTACTTATTATGGTAATTCTCTCCGAAACCCAGAAATTGTCTTCGCTGAGAGGAAACTCGCAGACGGGGTTTTATTTTAGCTGCAATAATTCTGTAATTCAGTTTGGGGCATTTCCACACAGAGCCGCCTGACATGAAATCCTCATATAATACACTCCTTATATAATCAGCTGCAGCGCGAGAGTTTACAGGAGTTACTTTCCACATATAAATGATTTTTATGGGAGACGTGTAAGTTATATTATCACCGCTCTCCAGATATAAGATATATTATACAGGAGTGACATCACCGCTCTCCGGATATAAGATATATTATACAGGAGTGACATCACCGCTCTCCAGATATAAGATATATAACACAGGAGTGACATCACCGCTCTCCGGATATAAGATATATTATACAGGAGTGACATCACCGCTCTCCAGATATAAGATATATAACACAGGAGTGACATCACTATCGGATATGTAACGCTCTCCGGATATAAGATATATTATACAGGAGTGACATCACCGCTCTCCAGATATAAGATATATAACACAGGAGTGACAT